GAGGCCAGACACTTTGCCAGTTGGTGTTTGTCGGCGGTATCTTGCACCCAGCCATCGTGAAGTTCAAGAGTTTTTAAAAAAGTCACAGTTTTTGGCAGCAGGGTCTATGTAACTAAAAGGAAAACGTTTTTTCATTACAAAATAATATATTGCACTCCCTGGAGTTTTCGTCTCTTCTGCACGCTCATATAACCTAATGCAGTTAGGAGCGCCGTAAAACACTAACCAAAACAAAATCATCCGTCTCTTCAAAAGAATAATACAGAAAGTTCCTGGTGAATATTTCAACGTTGTGGCTACAGTGTGTCCCCCACCATTACAACATTGCCCTGATTTTTCTGTCAAGCATCGAACCAACAATGCTAAATACATGGAGCATAACGATTTTGTTTTTGGTTGTTTATTTTTTTCTTAACCCTATCCGTCATTTTGTACCCCCGGGATTGTATTCTTCACATTTTAAAATACTTTTAGTATGAAAATCTCTTTGAAACTTTCAGTATTTCTAAAAAAAAATCACTTTGACAGACTGCTATACAAAGTGTACGGATAGGATTAACGAGTAGATTTCCTCTTTGGAAAGTGGTGGCACAGAGTTCCCCAAGTCGTATGGATACGATAGTAAAACATGACTTACGGATAGGGTTAGATAATCATCTAAGCACTAACCAGTTTAAACATTACAGGCACTTTCAGTTTTAATAGTTTATGACATATACAGAGAAAGAAAATTCCATTGCACACACACAGCAACCTTGATGCATAATATTGCTTTCAGAAAACAAGTTCTTCGCACATAGAAGTCACACCTAGACCCATATTTTGTACATACATCTTTGCAGGAATGGATGGCAATATAATAATATATATAAATATATATACTTCAACAACAACAAATATATTTTAAAAATAATTCGCAATATATTCTCCTTTTGGGGATCGGACGGACTGAGAATAGTTATCCTGAGATTTACATTGTCTAGAAAGATAGATACAGCAAGTACATATATTTAGCAGTGGATAAATGTAATACCGACACAATTATGGAAGGAGTTGTAAAAAATCCACTGTAAACATTGAGCAATATCTTATACTAAAATATGTTACAAATAAAGATAATGAACCAAGGAGCTGAACAACATCACTTAGTCAAATGACGAGTCCAAAATATAAAATTAAAAGCTCCTGTTCATTACAATTGAAAACCAATATCTTGAAATATTATTCAGGAGTTTTGATAACTATAGTTACATAATTTTTAAAAAAATATGTACATTTTATCACAGTAGTCAAGGTAAGTCTCACAAAAAGTCAAACAAAACTGCTCTGGCAGTTGAAAAGTGGAATAAGGTTTAACATACCAATACGGTAGAGGATCACAAAAATCAACTTTTTTCTGGCAAAGATCTACTTAAGCCCTAAGCCCTTCACACTTCACTTTTTTGATCCAGAGGACAGGCTTTTATCAGCTGCAGTTTGTCAAAAATGTCAGATAGAACTTTGTAATTCTAAGATGGCGATGTGTCAAAAGACCATTTTAATTCGTTATTTTAAAAATGGGGGGGGGGGGGGTTAGGGCTTAAACAGACCTTTACCACTTTTTCTGTGCACCCAGATTTCTTCCCAGAACAGTTGGTTGTGACCAAAAATGCTGACAGTAAAAGATTTTTATTACATCAACAATGATCATCTATACAAATCTCTTTCTGTCTCCTTCTGGTACACACATGCCTATACACACAGATGCTTAAATACACACAGGTGGCGTGCTCACACACACACACACACACACACAAACACACACACACACACACACACACACACACACACACACACACACACACACAGAGCTTTATATCTTTAATCCTGACAGTCATCTTTTCAATCTATTCTCATGCTATCTTGGTTTTTTAATGCTGAAAAGAGAATACCTGCCCCTTCAGTTATCACGATTGATTTGTTCTCCCTGTCCTAATCCCCTTGAACAATATCTGTCATTCCCTTTTCTTCAGTCTCTTCCATGTCCTTTTTATCCTCATTCAAAACATCTTCCTTCTCATCCGCATTGACATCTCCTTTCTCATTAAGTTCATCACTTTGCTCATGTTTCGGAGGAGCACTGTTTTCAGGAGCTTCCACATCAGCATTAACTTCTCCCTCGTCTTTAGGAACTTCGCCTCCCTCTTCTTTAGAAACATTGCCTCCCTCTTCTTTAGAAACATTGCCTCCCTCTTCTTTAGAAACATTGCCTCCCTCTACTTTAGAAACATTGCCTCCCTCTTCTTCGGGAACTTCGTCTCCCTCTTCTTCAGGAACTTCGTCTCCCTCTTCTTTAGAAACATTGCCTCCCTCTTCTTTAGAAACATTGCCTCCCTCTTCTTCAGGAACTTCGTCTCCCTCGTCTTTGCCACACACTTCAGCCTGACCCTCCCCGCCATCAGCAACATCACCATCTCTACCAACAGAGGAAGCGTGTTGTTCCTTCACTTCAGACGCATCTTTTCCCTCTTCTCTGCTGCTTTCATCTTTTCCAGGGACTGCGTCACCTCCTCCCTCTTCATCAACAGCGACATTGTTTCCTATTTTTCGCTGAGTTTCTTCACCCCCCTCTCCAAGTGGAGCAGTTGCAGCCTGATCTATTTCTGCAGTAGCATCATTATCTTTTTCCTCAGCAACCATTTCGCTAGAGTCATCTTCACCAGCCACATCGCTCACACTTTCTTGGACAGTGACATCAGCTGGGCTTTGTGTGTCCACTTTCCTCACTTCCGCTGCCACCTCTGTTGTATCGATGTCTCCCACCAGCTCTGATGTCACTTGATCTGACGAGCCGCCATCACCAGGGGCACCTTTAGTTTGTGGAGCTTGTACTTTTTCCTGAGGTGAATCCGACTCCGACTCTGTATTTTCTCTCCCCTCTACGCTTCGATTCTGTTGCTCCATATCTTTTTGCTCCTTACTTTCCACTGCTGGAGTGTCCTCTCCCTCCCCTTCATTAACTACCACGCCAGTCTCCTCATCTTTCTGAGCCAAATCTTCTTCAGACGACGACTTTGCAAAGAAAAAACTGCCAGGAGCCTGCAAGTCAGGCGATTCCTCTTCTTCATTATTATTCCCCTTCCCATTTTCTCCATCGTCCTGAATTTGTGACTTGTCTTCCTCATTCCCAGCTTGGCCTTCGTCTTTACTCTCAGTTTCCCCCGGAGGAAAAGACGTACTTTCCTGCTCTTCAACCAATGGTAGACGGACCAGGTCTTCTCTCCCTTCGTCATTTTCTCCCTCGACAGGGGACACTGTATCGTGGCTAATGAAGCGAGCGCTGTCGCACAGAAGCTCTGGGGACATATCTGAGTCCAGACTCTCTCGGTCGGCTTTCTTGTACTCGCTATCCTCCTCATTTCCCATCTCTTTCAGCTGAAACCTGGCAGACAGAGTGCCGTCAGCCTCACCTTGCTCATCCTGTTCCCCTCTTCTGTATCCATCTCTCTCGATTTGCATGCCAGTCTCTTCATCCTCTCCCAATTGGGTTTGTTCCTTCTCTTCCTCATCCTCCTCCCCACCTTTGACCTCCGACCCGTGAGCCCTAGGGGTGGGGCTGCCAGCCGTCGCTGAAGCCCCGCTCTGAGAATTCTGATTGCCGCTGGACAAGTCATCCTGCTTGGATGATCCGTGCTCTGCCTGGACACTGGATAACTCCTCCGCAGGGATATCCACACTCAGGAACGTCTCTTGAACTTTCTCCGACGCACCTTCACCCTTGCGACCTTTTGGGGCAACGTGGAGGACGGTCACCTGAGACACAACTTCTCCCTCCTCCTCCTCCGCCTTCCTCTCTGTCTGTCTGTCCTTTTCATCGCTGTGTTCCATCGGCACCGTCACATGGATCCTTCTGGTTGTCTCCTGACGTCCTCCCTCCCCGTGGTCTCTCCCTCGACTGTCCAGAGCCCGGACCGGCGACGATTCCTCCATCTCACTGACCTCCATCAAGGGCGCCATCGACAGGGAGTCTCTGGACTTGAGATCTCTGCGTGCCCTCTGCTCTACCCTCTCTGCCGGGTCCTTAGGTTCCGGTGAGGGGGGTGGAGGGGCGGGCGATTCTGCCTTTCGTTTTTCATCCAGAACTTTGCGGGCATAATCTCGACCAAGGCCTTCTTCCTTACCCCTGCCTGGCTTCCTACGGTCAGACCTGGATTGAGCATGGAAAAAAAAAAGATAAGCAAATAATACTAATATAAAAAAATTTTTCAATGACTGTGTTTTTAAGCCCCATTGAAACAATATACAGTATAACATGGATAGTTCAAACTCGTCGGGACCGGCCTCGGTAGTTCGAGGGATATCTTATAAAGATAAAGACCGCAGGCACAATTTGACGGATGCATGATTTCGAGTCTTCTGTTCTTGGCCTTGACCTATCCATGTTATACTGTACATGGGAGTGGGTGTAAACCCTACCTGAGAGAGATACAACATTCCAGCAGAAAGACAGAGACAAAGACTTGGAAATCAAACTCAGGTCCCCTGTGTGAAACAGCAAAGCACCTAACTGTGACACCACAGATGCTCGTAAGTGAATGTAAGTGAGATTTACAGGAACAGTAAAGCCGAGAACAGAACTGCACATATTCAAGATTTTCAAATTTAGATCATCAAACAATGAAGGGTCACTTTTAAGGACAAGCAGGCTAACCCAGATTTCGGGGGTTTCCAGAAATCTTGACCTACACCAAAAGTGGGCATTGCCCTACCTATAGGAGGAGAATTTTGGTTTCATTGGCGTGTATATTTGTTTGGTTATAGAGAAAACTCTCCTTGTCATTTAAAGAAACTGAACACAGGACAAAAACTTTACCTTCGATTTTCTCAAAACAGCATTTTCCGGGATAGCCCCCTTGTGCTTTAAAGTGACTGAATGATAGAGCAACTATATATATATATCTATCTGAATAAGAAATACAGTTTGAGTAGCTCGTTTCCTTGTTGGTGGGTGAACTTTGTTTTTTTTTGGCGAGCAAATAAGACCGGCATAATTCTGAATGATTTCTCATATATTTTATTTTGGCTGGTTTTAGGCAAACTGGTGCATTGTAGGTCTACTGGCATTAAGTGGTTGTCAATTACCCCAAACATCTTTTAAGGTCCATGAAAATCAAAGACAAAGCTAAAAATTTTGATAGACATTTTTTATTTAAAAAAAAACCTATGTGTGCAAGCCCTATATATAGGATCCTCATAACAAGGGATCGTTCACAAATGACGGCACCTAAAATTTGGCCAATAGTGAGGCCCCCCCCCACCCACCTTGTCATCTTCTGTCATGTATCCCACGACAACTTTGTAAGGACCCCGCTCCC